ACATTCACCTACTTGTTTACCATGATGGTCTCCTTTCCTTCGGATAGTTCCACATTTTCATCTGGTCTTAGCTCCCTTTGGTCTAAAGGGCAGCCTTTTAACATTCCTTGTAGTACAGTTCTGCCAGTGATGAATTCTCAGATTTCATTTATCAGGAAGTGTCTTTATTTTATTCTCATTTTTGAAAGATTTTCTGCTTGAACATAAAATTCTGGGATGACAAGATTCACCACCCTTCACCCCCCTGGCATTTAAAAAACTCTTTCATTGTCCTCTAGTCTACCTTGTTTCTGATTAGAAGCTGCAGTTATTGTTTTAGTTGCTTTGTAGTTCGTTCAGCTTCATGGATCTTTAAGCTGTAATTTTTCACCACATTGGGGCAATTTAGACATTATTTTTTAAATATATCTTTCTGCCCCAGTCTCACTTTTCCTTCCGAGAGTACAGTTGCATGTATGATAGACTATTTGATACTGCTTCATAGATCCTGGAGGGTCTGTTCGTTATGAGATCATTCTGTTGACCTGTCTTTGAGTCCACTGACTTTATTTTCCTGTCTCCAATCTGCTGGTAAGCTTATCTAGTAAACATTTTCGATTATTTTTTAGTTTTGGCATTTGTTAGTTTCTTCCTTATAATTTCCATTTCTAGGCAGATTCCTTATCTATTTACTTATTAAGACCATGCTTTCCTTTAATTCTTTGGATATATTTATAATAGTTCACTAAGATCTTGGTTGGCTAAGTCTAACGTTTAGACCATCTTGGGTTCATTTCTATATACTGCTTTTTTTCTTGACTATGGATCACATTGTTTTGTTTCATTGTAGGTCTAACGGGCTTTTTATTGAATATTGTACATTGTGAACAATACTCTGAAGTCTCTTATTTCTCCATGAGGTATACGGATTCTTGTTCTAGCAGGCAATGTAATTATTGGCTAATGACCTTACACTTGTTTATACTTGGTTTTGTTTTGTCTTTACACATCACCGAAGAGCCTAGAGTGTTTCCCAAACCCCACTAAATTGGCAAGACTCAACCTCCAAACTTGTTTCCTATGGATCTTGTCATGGTTTGATTTTAGAATTTATTAAGGCAGACCTAGAATAGGTCTTAGTCTAGACTATAATCCTTACCTCAAGTTGTAACCTTTCTGCTGTTTCAACTGGATTCCAAAGATGTTAAAGATGCATTTATGAGATCTCTCCATTTTGGTAGGGCCAGAACTCCCCTGGCAATGCTCTTACCCCAGGATTGCCCTAACTCTAATATCTCTGTTCTAATCTTAACCCATTTAGTACTTTGCTTTCTAGTAAGCCTCAGGGAGTCTCTCTGCATATACTGCCTGGCTGTATTATTTAGAGTTCTCCAGAGAAACAGAGCCAACAGGATGGATACACACACACACTTATTATCAGGAATTGGTTCATGCAGTATGGAGGCTGAGAAGTCCTAAGAGCTGTAGTCGACAAGCTGGAGACCCAGGAGAGCCAATGGTATTGTTTTGTCCCAGGCCAAAGGCCTAAGAAGCAAAAGAGCCAATAGTGTGAGTTCCAAGTTCAAGTCTGAAAGCAGAAGAGAGAAGATAAATGTCCCAGCTAAAAGCCAGGCAGAGAGAATTCTTACCCAGGCCTTTTGTTCTATTGAGGCCTTCAACAGATTGGCTGAGGCCTACCCACTGTGGAAGATCAATCTTCTTTACTTAGTCTACCAATTCAAATGTTAATCTCATCCAGAAATAGTCTCATAGACATGCCTCAAAATAATCTTTAACCAAGTACCTGGGCACCCTGAGGCTCAGTCAAGTTGAGACATAAAATTAGTCATCATGCCAGTTTCAGCCACAGATTTTTAGGGGACTCACACATAGACTTCTGGAACTCCCTGTCTGCATGACACCCTCCTTTCTGTTGCTCTGCCCAGTGGTTTCCAGGAGTTTCAGCTGTCTTGAAGTCTATTTTTGCCTCCTCAGATCTCCCTACTCTGCTCATACTCTAGCTGTCTGCACTACACTTGGGAAATTGTCCCCACTTAGAGGAACTCGGTGATTTTAGGGGCTTACTTCATGAGTTTCCTCTCAGGGATCAGTCTTGCCCTTCCTATTGTTGTCTGAAAGTAGTTGCTTCATAAGTTTTGTCCTTTTTTTTTTTCATTTGACAGAGACACAGCGAGAGAGAGAACACAAGCAGGGGGAGTGGGAGAGGGAGAAGCAGGCTCCCCGCTCTGTGGGGGGCTCGATCCCAGGACCCTGGGGTCATGACCTGAGCCGAAGGCAGACGCTTAATGACTGAACCACCCAGGCGCCACCAAGTTTTGTCCATTTTTATAGTTGTTCATGGTGGGAGGACTAGCCTGGAATCCCTTAATTATGGCTGGAAAGGTGGTTAATTTTCAGCTGCTTTTATAATAGTTTATTATATGAATTATGCCACTATTCCTCCATTCTTGGGTTGGTAGACATTAGACATTTAGGTGTGTTCAAATTGTCAGTAATACAAATGATACTGCAATGACTGTCTTTGTACCCAGAAATGGAATTGCAAGGTTATAAGGTACCTATTTCTTCAGTCTGATATTGCCAAATTGCTTTCCAAATTATAGTTTTACATATCCACCAACATGTCCATTCCATTTGTTCCACATCCTTGCCAAAATGTGATCTTGTTGAAGTATTAAATTTTTCTACTTATGCAAAGGAATGCACAATGGTTGTTACTTCAGTAAAGCTTTCCTAGATTACTAGTGAGCTATACACAGATATACATGTAAATATGTATTTATTTATTATTGGCCACTTGGGTTTCCTATTCAATAAATTACATTTTTATATCACTTGTCCTTTTTTTTTACAGTTGAGTCTTTTTGTGCTGATTCTTAGGAGTTCCTTATAATTCTAGTTACATGGTTTTTAAGTATGAGTTATATGAGGTTTTTTTGTATGAGTTAGTTGTTTCTTCTCAGTCTTAGCTTGTCTTTTAGCACCTGTGTTGCCTTTCCCCATACAGAAGTGTTAAATTTTAATGTAGTCATATTTATATTTTACTAAATGATTTGCAGGTTTGTGTGTTTATTTCTTCGACCCCTAAACACGGGAGTGCCCTGGGGCTCAAGTCTCAGACCTCTCTATCTACATTAATTCCCAAGTAATCTTTGTCTTACGGCATGTGTACACTGATGGCTTTTATGTCTGGCTCCTCCTGTAAATACCAGTAATGTATGATAATTTAAGGACCCTTGCTGTGCTAGATACTTTGTTCTTCCTTATCCAGATTCCGTGAATGGGAAATCTGCACTCACTGCTTCCACTTCTTGGTCTTCCATCCATAGTTTAACTCACTGCAGCTGGGCTCTTGTCCTGCGCTTCCACTGCTGCTGCTGCTGAGATTGGTTCCAAAGTAAAACAGCCCATCCCCTTTTCTTTTCAAATGAAGTCTTTGGTGAAATCAAACAGAAGCAGAATTACCCTCGCAATGGGTTGGGGAGAACTGACTGCCTTTCTCATCTCTTGAGGTTGCTCCAGAGATCTCTTTACTGAGCCCCACCTATCTTTCTAACCTCTCTACTCCCTCAGACCTCCCAGTTTCCAGCCATACTCCTTTCCGTCTCTGTGCTTCTGCACAGTGCTCCTGCATCTGCCTTGAACCCAGTTCTTGTCTGCTCAAGAAACACCTCCCAGCCTATCTTCCCCTTTATCATTCCCACTCTTTTTTGTGCCTCTGTTATCACGCTGGCCACAGTGAATCAAAGCTTTCTACTTACACATCTTTCTTATCCACTAAACAGAAGGCTTCTAGAAATCAGAGACCCTGTCTTTTTCCCTTTCATGTCTTTCAGTAGTGGAGTGAATGAATGGCCAAGGAAGCTGAGCTAGATCAAAATCTGAATTGGCAGACCACCGAGGCTTTTTTTTTTTTAAGATTTTATTTATTTATTTGACAGAGAGAGACACAGCGAGAGAGGGAACACAAGCAGGGAGAGTGGGAGAGGGAGAGCAGGCTTCCCGCTGAGCGGGGAGCCCGATGTGGGACTCGATCGCAGGACCCTGGGATCATGACCTGAGCCGAAGACAGACGCTTAACGACTGAGCCACCCAGGCGCCCAAGGCGCTTTTTTTTTAATGGTTTTATTAAGATATAATTCATACCGTAGAATTCACAGGGTTGTGCAACCACCACCATAATCTAATTTTAAAACTTTTTGTCCCCCCTCAAAAAGAAAACCCTACCCTTTAGCAGTCATTCTCCATTTTCCGACCCCCAACACACTCCCCAGCCCTCGCCAACCACTAATCCACTTTCCCAGGCCATCAAATTTAACATAGGTAAATTGATCACAAATCCTCAAAATCTACCCGATTCTGAACCATGATGTGAAATTTGGTAGATAACTGTTTCACTTAACCAATTTGTACGGCAGGAAATCAAACTTAGCTTGCAGCTTCAGGTTTCATCCGCAATATATTAGACTATTAGGCTGCTTGATCGGGAATTTATTAGAATTAGATCCGCATTTAACAAGGGTGGTTGGTTTGGGCTGGTCTGGCCTTTCACTGTTGCTGTGCACGTACACCCCCTTTGGCAGAAAGAGGGCACCTGAAAAACTCACCACCTTTGGTAGCAATCGTGAAAAACGTGCCCGGTAACAACCTCTTCCGGGGAGTTCAGCCCTCTACAAAACAACATGGATCAAGCATTACTTGAGTGGTCGCTTTCCGGAGCTTTTATTTTTAACGCGACTCTTCTACCGGGTCACCTCGGGATGGGTGCCGCGCGATGTACGCGCGGAAGCCTCGAGAAGACGACCTGGCTGTTTCTGGGGGCCGCATTTTCTGAGTGGGGTCAGGTCTAGCGCGTTGCTAGGCAGCAGTGGCGTTGCCCGCTGCAGTTGCGCGTACGAGTCGCCTGCGCAGTGACGCAGGCAGTGCGCGGTGACGCGGCGCGCGGCGCGGTGCACGCTGGGATATTTAAGTCTTTTCCGCGGCGCGGAGCCGCGATGTCTCCGGCGGCTGCGGCGGCTGGCGGAGGCGAGCGGCGGCGGCCGATAGCGAGCGTCAGGGACGGCCGGGGCCGGGGCGGGGGCTGCGGCGGCCCGGCCGGGGCGGCGCTCCTCGGCCTGTCGCTGTTCGGCCTCGTGCTGTACCTGGTGCCGGCGGCGGCGGCGCTGGCCTGGCTGGCCGTGGGGGCCACCGCGGCCTGGTGGGGACTGAGCCGCGAGCCCCGCGGTTCGCGCGCCCTCTCCTCGCTCGTTCGGAACGCGCGGCGTCAGCGAACCCTGCACGCCTCGCCTCCAGCCAAGTCGGCGGTGAACGGAAATCTCCTAGAGCCGCGGACCCTGCTCGAAGGACCGGACCCCGCCGAACTGCTCCTCATGGGCAGTTACCTGGGCAAGCCCGGCCCCCCGCAGCCTGCCCCCGCCCCGGAGGTCAGGGACCTGCTGGAGAGGCCTGGCCGCCGCCGCACTCCCGCTCGCGCCGCGCCGCCCGCGCACTCGCCCCATCGTGTGCACGTTTACCCCTCTCTCCCCACTCCTCTTCTCCGATCCTCTAGGAGGCCATCCCTCCGGTAAGATCCGCTCATCTTCCCCACACCCTCCTCTCTGTCGACTGGTTTTGAATGGAGACCTTGACTTTTTAAATCCGATTTTCTTTTTCATTAAGTCAAAAGTGGTTTCTGTGTCGCTTTGTCTTCTTGAAACACCTTGGTATGTGTCAGCCATCCCCTGCCTTCCTTGAGCCTTTGGAATGAGATGTGATGCCAGAGCTGTTCCCTTCTTTACAGTTTTTAAAACCGCGTTTAGAAAAATACTTGATAAGCTACTAAAATATCCCTACTTCTGGTGAAAGTATCTTGACCTTTCTAGAGTAGATATATAGTATGTTTTGTTGTATTTTTCCTTTGGACCAATAAGAGCGATTAGATCAGTTAGCCGAGCTCAAAGAGGTGTTTCCCGGAGACCCCTCTTTTGATAAAACTTGATTGATAAAGGTGATCAAATTAAAGAGGCATTTCCATTTAGTCCCAATAGCTGAGCATTACAAGAGAATACAAAACTTTGGTGAAAATACTAGATTATCAATAAGTACATTTAGTTGAAAGATGAACTTAGGTGTCAAAAATGTTTGACTTTGGGTATTTATTACTTATGACTCAGCATAAAAGATTGAAAAGATTTAAGAATTCTTTAAAAGTTCCCCCTTGCATGTCCTAACACGCACTTTTCTTACATCACAGTTTTACTTGTGTGGGCAGGGTCTTCAATTTCTCTCTCAAAGTTGTTTAAGTCCATTGTAGGGACAGCTGCTAAGCAGCTGCCACTTTCCATCCCTAGATGGAACGGGGGAACGTTGCCATAAAAATGCTGTTTTTTTGTGGCTCAAAAAGCAGTTTAAGGGATGCCTGGGTGGCTCAGTCAGTTGAGCCTGCGACTCTTGGTTTCGGCTCAGGTCGTGATCTCAAGGTTGTGAGAGGAAGTCCCGCATCAGGCTCTGCATGCTCAGGGTGTAGTCTGCTTGAGATTTTTCTCTCCCTATTCTTCTGCCCCTCCCCCGCGTGTGCTAGCTTTCTCTCTCTAAATAAATAAATAAAACCTTTTTTTTTTTAAAATCAGTTTAAGCTCTCTGGAAGATAACTGAACCCACGTGATTCTTTAGTAATTCATATTTCTGCCATTCCTTCAGGCTTCTTTGGTTCTATAATGTGTTTCCCATTCTCCATAGGGATTGTGGGAGTTTATCAAACCGGTTTGTGATAACACCTCGAAGACGATATCCAATCCAGCAGGCCCAGTATTCTCTTCTGGGCGTACTTCCTACAGTATGCTGGAATGGTTATCACAAGAAGACTGTGCTGTCTCCTCGGAATTCCAAAATGGTGTGCAGCCCAGTGACAGTGAGGATTGCTCCTCCGGATAGTAAATGGACTCGTTCGCCAGTGTGAGTATTACTGCTGGCAGAGTAAACTTTCCTGTTTATTTCCACTTATTCTTCCACAGCTGTTCCTCTGACAAAAGAACTATAAAGCAAAAAAGGGAAGAAGGTGCTTATTTGAATGAGAAATCCCTAACTCTAGTCCTTGAACAGCATTTTTTTGTTTTGGCTTTAGACGGTAGCTTTAATTCTAAGGGCAGTTTCTGTCAGTGTATATTTTTGCTTATTAGTTAGCTTCTGATTTCCAGTGACTGAAGTCCGTGCTGTATGCATGGTTATTAACATATCTTAATGCCAGAATCTTGTTTTTCATTACAGACCAGAGCAGACAATCAACTCAACACTGTCCTCACCATCAAGTAATGTCCCAGACCCATGTGCAAAAGAGACTGTACTGAGTGCCCTCAAGGAGAGGAAGAAAAGGACAGTGGAGGAGGAAGACCAAATATTTTCTGATAGCCAGGAAAATAAAAGAAGGTAACAGGCCCCGCAGAGTACTAAACAGGCCTCCCACACAGACTCCTGTGATTTGTTGATATACAGATCACTCCCAAGAAGAAACAGAGGCCAACTCCACAGTTTGTGAGCTTCAGTAGGTGCCCTTCTTTGGATTCCATGGAAGAGCTTGGTAACAAGGGGTTTAATGCTGTTAGTTTCCTAAGGTACAGGTTAAATTTTATAACTTACCTTTTCTACAAGTACTAGAGATAAGCTGACAGCTGTTAGCCATGTTAGCCTCATACTTTTGATACAAATGTGCTAAATTTTATTTTTTTTAGAGGGAATGCTAAAAATCTTCCCTTCACTAGCTTGTGTTGCTTAATTATTTGGGTAACCACCATTCGAATGTCATATTTGTGCTGAAGGAAATGCTTGGCGAAGCAAAGTGAAGACTGGAATATGGTAGATTTATCAGTAATGAGAGTAAAACCAATTTCATTATTTGGTTTCTGATGTTTTAATGAAAATGGAATAAGCAGTCTGTCTCCTAAGTGTGGAAAGAGCAGAGATTGAAGTCACTAGGTATGATGCATAACTGCTTTCCAAGAATCAGTTAAGGATTTCACTTGTCTTTTAATTTGACAGATTGAGCACCTAATGTGTGCCTGGGCCTACTCCAGGTACTGTGGATAGAGCAATGAGTAAGACAGAGTCCCCATGGGACTTGGATAATAAAATAAGGAATTCTGGATTGTACTTGTATAGAAGTAAAAAAAAAGAAACACAACAGGATGCTGTAACAGATAATGAGAAGGGGGTTTCTTTATATACATTGGTCAAGGAAGCACTCTGAGGAGACAGTGGACCCCACACTTGTTCAATGTAACCATTACCTAGACCAGATTGTTCATATCCTACAAAGTTGGCCGTCTTTAGTACTACCAATGCAAAGTTAGATAGGGAGATATAAATAAGTGGAAGTGTTTTTATGTGACATAGGAAGATCTAATGATGAGTACAGATGATTTATAGGTGAGCAATTTGAACTGATGTCAACTAGCTAAGCAGGGGTGGCAAGGAGTGGGGGAGGTGGGAGAGGGAATCATCATTCTTATGGTCCAAATAAGTCTCTCATATTCTCCAAGGTTAAAATTTTTCTTGACCCCAGTGAGCCTATAACTGAGGATTCTGTCTTATCTTTCTCACACTTGGAGTAAGCAATGATTATGGGCACCATGCATAGACCCTTATGTGTGATATGTGAAGTTTTTCCCTCACAGACTTGCCATATTAACCTCTATAGAGCACTATGGGATGTGTGGGTTAGTCCCTAAAATGTTTTTGTTTTTTGTTTTTCGTTTGTGGATGGTAGAGTATTGTGATAGTAGTACTTTGGAGAGCAGTTAGCGAATAATAACACCTGAATAAGGTCAAAAGGTCTTGAAGCATTTTTATACTCGTTATTATGAGGACAATCTTAGAGTAAATCTACCTTTCAGAATCTTTAGGATTTGAAGCAGCCTTTTTCTTGTCTAGCCATTTCTATATGCCATAGAAATAGTATAAGGTTCCAGGAGTATGAGAGGATGCTCTAAGGGGGGGGAAAAAAAAGTTCATTTAATTGAGGGTTTTTTGATTTGTCGCAGGCGCCATGATAGCAGTGGGAGTGGACATTCAGCATTTGAGCCCCTGGTGGCCAATGGAGTCCCTGCTTCTTTTGTGCCTAAGTAAGTGAGAATCCATCTGAATGAGGTAGACTGGGGAAGGGCACTGTCAGAGCTGTTGTCCTACAGAGATTTTCCTCTGTGTTTTTGCATTGCTTTATTAGCCCAGGTTCAAATCTCTGACATCAGAGAGGAACATTTGGAATAATGTTCCACAATAACTATCGTCTAATTTCTTTTAATATTTTTTCATTAATATGGATAAAAATCTGGTAAGGCTAAGAGAGTTTGTAAATATATTTAATAACTATGTATATAAACAGGTTTGTGCGATGGTTAAAGTGCAACAGTATGAAATTTAAGATAAATGTTAAGTTTGTACAATTGAGTTTAAATACATTTAGGGGTTGGATGAGAGGGAAAGTGTCTTGGAAATCTGTGTGAAAAGACTTGAGGTAACTTACATGCTTCTTGAGTCAGGAGAGTGATAAGGCAGCCAAAAGAGCTAATGTGCTCCCAGTCTGTGCTGATAGCAGAACAAAGACCAGAATGGAGCAAGGGGGGGGGGGGCACAGCGGTTCCTGCTGTCCTGAGTTCTGCTCACATTGCCCATGTAGTGTTGTGCTTGGTTCCGTGGCCTGCACTGTAAGAGACCATAAACACAACCTAACAGTCATTCCGAGTGAAGCAATTGTAAGATGTTACAGAGTGGTGGCCGTGCATGAGTGGGTTTTGAAAGTTTAAAGTATTAACCCAAGGGAGAAAAATCTCAAGGGGAATAAGGAAATGAGAGAGGGAAGGATAATGATCACCAAAAACCAGAGGGCTGTCGCATGAAGAAAAGGCTAACGTTGTTCGGTTTGGCTCCAAATAGATCTGTAGGTGAAATAGGTGAAAGTTAGAGGAAATACATTTTCATCCAGTGTAAGAATAAACTAGTCCATGGTTGACATTCATCACTCTAGGAGAAAGTGAGTTGTCTACATTGTAACAAAGGTTGGGTGATTATTCTACAGGAAAGATGTTTCCATTGGAAGCTTAAAAAAATTGGTTGGTTCCTCTTAACTCTGGTTTTTTTAGTAGGTTTATTGACATAATTAACATTATAATAAACTGTGCCTTTTTAAAGTGTACAATCTGATAAGTTCTGACGTTAAACCGTTGCCATAGCCAAGGTAATAAACATAACCATCACCTTCAAAAAAAGTTGCCCCTTGCTCCTTAGTAACCCCTCCCTCCAGTCCTGCCCCCAGCCCCAGGCATCCACTGATGTGCTTTTTGTCACTGTAGATTAGCGTGCAGTTTTTTCTAGAATATTATACAAGTGGAGTCATACATTTAATTTTTTTTAAATATTCGGCTTTCCCTTCCTGACTTGCCCAAGATACTTAGCTGAAGTGGTAACAATAGTATTAAGAGCTTTATCCTTATTAAGTTTATTTAAGAAATATTTTGTGACCATGGATGAAGCCTTAGAAGAATGTTGCCTTAAATAGCACACTCACTGTCTTTTTCTCTTTTGTTAGGCCTGGCTCTCTGAAGAGAGGTCTCAATTCCCAAAGCTCCGACGACCACTCGAATAAGAGGTCTCGCACCTCTTCCGTGAGCTCCTTGACAAGCACGCACACGGGTGGCATCCCTAGCTCCAGCCGCAATGCCATTACCAGTTCTTACAGTTCGACTCGAGGTTTCTCTCAGGTACGTTCTCCTTGTGGCGTGGGAGAAAGGCGTTCCGAGCATTAATTGATAAGCCGGTGTTTACTAACCACGTTCCACCTGTCAGATACTGGGATTACCTCTGAGCTAACAGAAGATGCAAACCCTTGATTGATAACTTAGACCCGGGGAACAATAGAAAGCTCAGAAAGTAAACCAGTGCATATGGGGACAGCTGATACAAAACAGCCAGTATTGTAGATAACTGGACAAAGAATGAATAATTCAATAAATGATATTAATTTGATCGAAAAGGTAGATTCAGTCCGGATTGCACTGGATCAGAAAAGAAATTCATCCTTTTGTCATTGAGAATTGAGTGAAAAGTTCTTAAAATACTGTGATTTTTTTTTTAATTATTTTTTAGAAAAAGTTGCAGTTCTTTCTTAGAGGATGCAGTATGGCCTAGGGGACAGAGCAAGCTTTGCTACCAGACAGACTTGGATTCAGATTTTGCCTCTGACACTTAGTAGCTCTAGGGCCTCGGGCAGGTAAATCACTTCAACTTTGTGTTTCTCATCTCCCAAGGATTATTACAAAGATTAAAGACAGTGCTTGAAAAATATTCATTACAATGCATGTCAGTAAGTGGGTACCCTGTGTATGGTAGTGAGAAAAAAATAAAGCATTCACGGAGGAAGAGTTTTGAGGGGAGAAAACTTTTGAGATAAGGTAATCCAGAAGGCTTTTACAATAACATAAATGAAAAATGAAGGCCTAAGCTTGAGTAGTTGTAGGAATAAGCACCACAACAGGCAGATTGAGAATAATTCTCAAGAGCCCTAGGATTTTCAGAATGGTGAGTACTGGCTTCATCTTAAAGTCACCGGTTGCATTAGCCCCTAATAAGAGCGTCAGCCTGTCCTTTAAAGCTTTGAAGCCAGGCACTGACTTCTCTGTAGTTATGAAAGTCCTAGATGGCATCTTCTCCCAGTATAGGCTCCCTGTTGAAATTCCACTGTTGGGTGTAGCCCCCTTCATGAATGATTTTAGGTAGATCTTCTGGATGACCTCCTGCGGCTTCCCCTTGTTACGGAGATGGCTTCCTTCCTGAAACCTCACTGAGTCAGCCTCTGCTAGCTCCAGCCTTGTCTCCAGCAGCTTCCTCACCTCTCAGCCTTCCTGGAAATTGAAGTTAGGCCTTGCCCTGGTTTAGGTTTTGGCTTAAGGCAATGGTGTGGCTGGTTTGATCTTCCACCCAGACCACTTAGACTTTCTTCATGTCAACAATAAGGCCTTTTCACTTTCTTATCATTCATGTGTTCATTAGGGTAGTACTTTTCATTTCCTTCAAGAACTTTACTTTGCATTTGCAACTTGGCTGTTGGGTGCAAGAAGCCTACCTTTCAGCATGTCTCGGCTCTTGACCTGCCTTTCTTACTAAGCTTGATCATTTGTAACTTTTGATTTAAAGTGTGAGTTGTGCGATTCTTCCTTTCACTTGAACACTTAAGAAGCCTCTGTAGGGTCGTTACCTGGTATAATTGCAATATTGTAGTATCTCGGCGAATAAGGAGGCCGGAAGAGGGAGAGAGATGGGAGAAGTGCCCGTTAATGGGACAATCCGAGCACACATATTTTTTTAAGTCGGCTGCCTTATAAGGGCGTGGTTTGTGGCTCCTCAAAACAATTGCAATAATAGCATCAAAGATCCCGCATCACAGATCATTGTAACAGAATAATAATAAGTTGGAAATACTGCAATACTTAACCAAAATGTGAGACAGAGACATGAAGTGAGCAAATGCTGTTAGGAAAAGGGCACTGATAGACTTGCTTGAAGTAGATTTGCCACAAACCTTCAATTTGTTAAAAACAGCATTTTCAGGGGCGCCTGGATGGGTCAGTCGTTAAGCGTCTGCCTTCGGCTCAGGTCATGATCCCAGGGTCCTGGGATCGAGCCCCACATCGGGCTCCCTGCTCAGCGGGAAGCCTGCTTCTCCCTCTCCCACTCCCCCTGCTTGTGTTCCCTCTCTTGCTGTGTCTCTCTCTGTCAAATAAATAAAATCTTAAAAAAAACCAAACAAAACAGCATTTGCAAAGTGCAGTAAAATGAAGTATGCCTGTACTTACCTGTTCTTAAAATCTTTTTATTCTGTCAAATTTAAAATGTACGCAAAAGGAAAGGGAATCTAACGGACCTCCCTCCCTATAGCTTCACTTGTTAGTTACCAGCATGTTGTCTGTCTTGTTCCATCAGTCCACCCCACCCTGTTTTTGCCTTTTACAGTAAATTACAAACCTGTCATTTCACCTATAAGAGACTTCAGTGTATTTTAAAACTTTTTTATAAACATTGATAACCACATTGGCATTATTCCTCTTAAACAATAATTACTCCTTAATATTTGTTAATACTGCTCCATGTTCAGATTGCCTGTGTTATCCCAAACTGTCTTACTACAGTACCTTTGTTTGAGGGACCAAACATCAGTTCTTTATATTTGGTTCCTATGCCTCTTAGACTCTTTATACTACTACTATTTTTTTCATGCCTTTGAAAAAACTGGATCATTTTGTTCTGTGGAATTTCCCACATTCTAGATTAAGTTTCCATCGTCATGGTATCTTTTTAACGTATACACGATCCCCTATGTTCCCTGTCAATGGGAATTTGAGTCCTGAGACTTGATTAGATTCAAGTTCAGTTATTTTAGCAGAACATCACATCCCTGTGATTGCATCACACCAGGAGCACGTGAGGTCTGGCTGCCTCCCTTTTGTGAGGTTGGTAATGATCCCTGGGCTCAGCTGTTTCAGTCAGATTCTTCCATTTTAATTTTTCTGTGAGTTTTTCATCTGATGATTTTAGCATCCATTTATCATCTTTGCCTAGGTCCACGGTTTTATTAGGTTGCAAAATGGTGGTAATCTAATTCTGTCATTTTCTCTGCATTTATTAACTGAAATTCTGTACAAGAGAACGTGTCCTACCTGTGGGAGTAACTAGGTAATAAGAAGGCGCTGATGCCGGAGCCAACTCCAGAAGTGACCAATGAGGTTTTTGCTGTTGTGATTATGTTTATGAACTTCTGAGTTTGTATAGACATTTCGCTTTTTTTGAGGCACAAAGTTTTCCACCTTTGGCCAGTGGGAGCCCTTTCCAATTGGCTCCTGTATCCTTTTGTTTTGATCCCAGTAGTTTTTGATAAATAACTTTGTTGCTTTTTAGGTTAAAAAAAAATCCATCTTGTACGTTTCCAACTCAAACTGAAGTTGGCTATTCAAGTAGCCTTCCTTTTTTTCAGTTGGAAATGATCTTTATAGACTACAGTCTGGATTCTAGGAGAGTTAAAATTACACATATCCTTTAGAAAGAGAACTCTCAGTCATTAGTTCATCTTGATATTTCATGTTCAGATTTAGGATCACAGAACTTTTTACATAATTTCTTTGATTTTACATTTTTATGTCTTAAGATTTTATTTCTTTTAGAGAAAGCACAAGCAGGGGAAGGGGCAGAGGGAGAGAGAGAATCTTGAGTAGACTCTGCACTGAGTGCACAGGGCCCGTCATGGAGCTCGATCTCACCACCCCGAAATCATGACCTGTGCTGAAATCAAGAGTCAGACACTTAACCAACTGAACCACCCAGGTGCCCCTCATTTTTATGTATTTTTACACAAAAAGTGTTGCTTCATAATTACTTATTTGACTGGTCCCAGTACACACAATTTCAAAATAATGATATCAACAGTAAGATTTTGAATCAGCTTAAGAATTATTTTTGATACAGTCAAAATATGTGTTTTAGAGTAATGTGAATTCAGTGTTCTCAGTTGGGTACACCACCAACTTGATACACAGTAAGGTTCAGTATATTTTAATGTTTTGGGGTGTTTTTTTTTTATATACAGTTTGTTTTTATTTATGTAAAATAAAATACTTTAAATTGTTCCAAAGAACAGGGGCGCCTGGCTGCTTCGGTCAGTGGATTATGTGACTCTTGATCTCGGGGTCGTGAGCTCCAGCCCCATCATGAGTGTAAAGATTACTTAAAAATAAAATTAAAAAAAAAAATTGTTCTGGGGCGCCTGGGTGGCTCAGTTGACTCTTGATCTCAGCTCGGGTCTTGATCTGAGGGTTGTGAGTTCAAGCCCCGCTTTGGGCTCCATGCTGCACATGGAGCCTACTTTTAAAAAATTAAAAATAAAGATAATGTAAGTAAACATAAATGTAAATAAATATAAATAAAATAAAAATTATTCCAGAGAACATATGAGAAAAGAAAATACACTCAGAGAAGTTCACAATTTCAACCTCTTTCTACTCCACATTGTTCCCTTCCTATTTTTATTACTTTTTGGCTATCCTTCCACTGTCTCTTTTTTCTTAAAACTATATGCAAATCCGGGCGCCTGGGTGGCTCTGTCGTTACGCATCTGCCTTCGGCTCAGGTCATGATTCCAGGGTCCTGGGATCGAGCCCCACATCGGGCTCCCTGCTCTGCGGGAAGCCTGCTTCTCCCTTTCCCACTCCCCCTGCTTCTGTTCTCTCTCTCGCTGTCTCTCTCTCTGTCAAATAAATGAATAAAAATCTTTAAAAAAAAAAACTATATGCAAATCCATGTCTATCTGTAAACCCCACCTTCTGACGTGAGGCAGTAATATGCACAAGTGTGAGCCTTGCTCTGGCTCTCCTTCTACGGTATCTGTAGTTACTCTTGTCCTCTGTTGATAAACATTGAGCTGTTTCAGTTTTCTGCTGTGACAGATGGTACTGCACGGAATGCTTTTTAATTCATGTCATTTCACTCTTTGGCCATTACACTTCTTGGATAGATTGCCTAGAATACTGATTTCCCAGGCCCACAGTTAGATGCATGTACAGTTTCACTAGGTATTTTTAAATTCCCCTCCTTAGAGGATGTACCATTAGCATTCCCATTAGCATTATATGAGTGATGGGACTTCTCCACAGTCACACCAATAGATTAGGTTGTCATAGCTTTGGGTTTTTACCAGTTAGGTGAGGAACAGTAT